CTGCTAATTTAGCATGGAGACATAGTACAGTCATCTTACAAGCACCCTGCATCCAACCATAAATCCAACAGATTGCCAGCCGTGGGGAGGCCTAACACAGACAGACAGACAGACATCCTGTGCTGTAATCTGAACTCCAAACACAGGCATCTGTGGACTAAATACACAGTATGGTATTGTTTGGACTCATATTTCAGACAGCTACGGGACAAATACACACACTGTTTTGTTTTTTTGGGACTGTATACAGGTGGTCAATTTACAAGGTACGCTGTATTAGCAGGGAGGGTTATGTAAGGCTCATAAATGTAGCTCCCCAACCCATATTTCTAACAACCAGTGAGAAACTAGTAAAAATTTCACGATACATGCTTGTTTAACATTTCTCCCTCAGTTCCCGGTGTCCATTTTGAATCCCAGGTGGGGCGTGGGTGTGAGTGCAGGGGCACTATGGAATTGGTGTTCCACCCTGAAGGAAGCACACTATTATCCTGGCTTGTATTAATAATTTCATAGAGCCACAAGCCAGAAATCCCTCCCATTCATATATTAATAACAAACATAAAGGCAGAAACTTACCAGGCTCTGTCTGAAGTGCTTTCTCTGCTGCTGGTTCCACTATGGGCTGTTCCCTAGGACTGTCCCCGAACAGCTTCTCTGAATACAGATCCAGGAGGTGCTGTAGGTGCTCCGGAGGCATAGTCTCTTCAGGTGTAAGCATTGGGGTCACTTTGTGTGCTTCATCTGGCAACTGGCTCACCTCCAGCAGTGTCTGTGACTGGGGGTTATAAGGATGCCATCACTGCTCAACAGATTGTCATGCACTATTGTCAGTGCACTATTAGTGCACTATTGTTGTGTGCTTGGTGAAGTTCTCAGCACCCAATAAAATCATCTTAAAAGAGACTGGGGAGTTCCCAGAGGTACCATTAGCATACTTGACTGGGTAGCAATCAGTCTTGAGGTGCTTGATTCTCTCTCTGTATTGGTCACCAGTCCGGTCAATCCCCAACACCAGGAGCCACTCCAACATAGCTCTATAAACATGAACATTTCTTGGTTCTTGCTGAAGTCAGATGTCTTGCTCACCTTGCACTGGAGATTAACCAGAATCCAGCTGTGTTCCTCTGACTAGCTTTAACTTGATTGTCAGTTAACTTGGGTTAATTAACACAGTTTTATGTTCTAGTATAGACACTTGTCACAGGGTGCTTGGCCCCTTTAAAAGGGAACAGGACCAGTCCCCTGTGATTAATTAGCTGCCTCCCAGTAGGGACTGTTTAGCTCACTTGATTCCCCCAAGCCAACTCAATGAGCTATTCATCTCAGCTGAGGGGGGGCAAGGAGTGTCATAAAAAAGAAGCAGAGGGTAATAAGAGGAAGTGGTAGGGTAAAAAGAGACATTTTCTGTAGGCCCTTTCTGGGTGTGAGAGTGAGCTGTATCAGAGAAGTGCAGACAAGGGGGAGCTAGGGAGATCTCCTAGCTTCTCAATAAGCAGGAGGAAGTTTCCTGTGGAGGGTTGAGAGTTCACTGGTAAGGGAAGCAGAGAGGTGCTACTGAGAGAGTGTGAGGAGGGAAAGGCTCAGGGGAATTGCCCTGGAGCCTACTATCCTGCCTAAGGGACAGGATAGCTGTGAAATCCGGGTTAGCTTTCCCAAAAGGAGCTTGGGAGGGATGTATACTAAATGTGTGGGACTGTTGTTTCTTCCTAGCCTGGGAAGACCTTGTCTTAAATTTCTTCATTTCTCAGGCTTCATCTGCAGCATGTGCTTGTCCTAGACCCAGAAGGGTAAGCTGCATGAGATGGGAGAAAGGTCTGGATAAGGAGTAAACAACAAGAAGTGTCATGTGAGAACCCTTAAGGTGTGATATCTGAACTCTTCTTTAAGGCTATCATGGGGTGGTTTGTAAGCAAGTAAAAGAGCCCTCAACAAGAGTGGCCTTTGTTGAAATCTTTGCACTGATTGGTAGGAACTGCAGGGTCATGTTCCTACCACAAGGTGGCATCAGGAGGCCTCTACATGTTAAGACCCTACAAACATTTGTTCTAGGAATAAATGTTTGTCTACTCTGGTATTGACAAATGTGTAAGTGCATCAGTGCTAGAGCCTACAGTTGTGTTAGCTGGGCCAAGTTGCAATCCACTCTTGAGTTCTAGCATCATAGACAAGCTCTAGTAGAAAAAATTCTCAGTGTTTCTATGACTGACTTCCCCTGAGACCTTTTGGTAGTGAAAGGCAAACTTTGATACATGTATAGGTGTATAATACTATATAGTCATCTCACTCACTCTAAATAAAGTGGGCTCCAGATGCTAAGCATATATGCTTGTTTAGAAACACAAATCATCTCAAATTTGTACTCCTAAAGAATGGAATGTGCCTAGTGACCAATATGTACCTGAGAAGAGTCCTTCTAAGAGATTAATAGCTGTTATCCCATCAGTGAACTGTCTAATATCTCTTCCAGTTCATTCTTTTAGAATACCTGCTCTGAATATTACTAAAGGCATATCTGGTTTTAACTAGGTTTTTTGTGGAGAGGAGAGTTGTAGAAATGATCTATAACTTTCTTTCAGACCAATGAAAATGATAGCCCAGTAAAACATGAGTGAATGTTCCTATTTTGCTGGACAACTCAGCCAATCTGATTCTGTCTGAAATCTGGTAGCAATTCCTAACAAGGGGGAGGGTCAAGATTATTCCATTTTTAAGATCTGCCCAAATGCCTTTACTGAACAAAAACCAGCACCTTATATTTTAAAGTCCTAAAGATACCTGAATAGTCATCTCTTCAGAGGACCATTGAACTGTAAAGGCAGGGGATGACCCAAGCAAGGTATTGCATCTGTCTTTGTAACAGTTTAAATTTTTCCAGAAACCGAGCTAAATTAGACTCAAAGTTGGAATGTCCAGTGTGAAGCATCAGTGCAGTATCCACATATTAACTAAGGGAAAATTCACTACGTCTACACATGGCCTGAGTAATCAGGCTTTGTTGTGGGTGAAGTCTAGAGAGGAGGAGATAAGGAGAAGTCTGCTTGCTTTCCACTTTATATAGCCATTTAAACTGTGCAAAGTTAGAGCACAATGGGTACAGAATCCTGCATAATCATAATAGTAGCCTTTTATGCTGAATCTGTATAGATGGTAATGAGTAGGCTTTGGAAAATCCCTTCCTTGGAGGGAAGGGAATTCTTACTTGCAAAATGAATTAACTAATGTCCAGAACCTGAGTTGCAGCCATCAGTGCTTGGTGCAGTTCAGGAAGGGGAAGGGGTGTATGTGTGTAAAAAGGTGACTTTACCTGTATGCTTCTCTGATCCTGGGTCTGCCCAGCTGCCAGAGATAATGGGAGTGGGGGAGACCTGGGGAAATATTCTGCTGGCTGGTTTAAAATGTCTTTAGGGATGCTTTACACTGCTGGTGTCAGCAGGAGTCAACTGCATATTCTAGCTCTTGATACATGATTGTGAAAATCCCATTAGGCATCTATCTGCATGCACCTAACTACCTCTTAAAAATTTTGGCCTTTTGAGACAATAAACATAGAACCCATAATGCTACTTCCACAGTGATTCTTCAGTGTGTGTGTGTGTGTGAGAGAGAGAGAGAGAGAACTGGGGTGTGTTGCATATACACAAGGAAGCAGAGTCTGAAGGAACTGCACTTTAAAAGGCACTATAGATTGTAAGAGCCAACAGGATTGGGAATAAGATATGTACCTCTAGCTTCTGTAAATTAAAGAGAGCTGAGTATGCCCTTACTCCCATTTATCACTAGAAGGGAGAAGAATAGTTTAATCCATTAAAGAGAAACCTTTACAAATTAAATAGATCAAACTCTTTGAAACATCAAAGCTTACACTATTTAAATATATCTCTCTTTGCTCTAACTGAGCTGATGTTTAGCCCCACAATACAAAACAGCCTTTTAAAATAAGTCATTTTAGGAATGAATGAAAACCCAGAATGATTACTAAAGAGGGGGCAGATCCTCAACTGCTATAAATGGGTGTAGCTTTACTGAGTTCAGCTGAGGATCATCTGGCCTTGTGACTACTATTCTGAAAATCATGCCATGATATCTCAATTGGGCACCCACCCTAGAATCAGAGTCCTTAACTTCTAGACCTTAGTTGCTCCATTTGTAAAACAGGGGCAGTAACTCTTAATTCCCTCAGAGGGGTGTTGTGAGGCTTAATGTTCTTAAAACATGTTGATATAACACTTTACACTTCATTAGTATTTTCCATCTGAGGGTCTCAGTGTGCCTGGTAAAGGTTAGTAAGGGTGTATTTATTATTTCATTCTTAAGTGATAAAAGTTTTGGGGGATGGCTCTTAGGGGGCAGCAGAGATGATTACCCAGACATTATTTGGTGTAGTAGTCAACTCTTGTTAGAACTCTGAAACCCTGGGTTTATTTCCCCCCCTTTTCCCTTACATTGGGATTACACCATTGTTAAATCAGTGCAAGGTTGGGGGTGTGTGTGACTCCAGCCCTCTGTTTTGGCTGGCTAGATTCACGCCCTAAGCTTTGCCTGATAGGTTTGAAGGATCTCTATAATTCAAAGCAAATTCAGATGAAGTTGATATGTTTGGGGGTTTCCCAGGATTTTTGCCCTAAGCTATGAAGTGGCCCGGGTGTGCTTGGAACTTGGCCCTGGTCTTACAAAGCTGACCCCAGCTGTGCAGGTTAAAGGTCCACACTAGTAGTGTGTCGTTAGGATTTCCCTTCCCTTTATGCTGGCTCTTTGCCTGCAGAAGGGAAGTCGGGCCAGGCACGCTTCAGACAGCGCCATATTTCTTTGTGCCCAGGTGAGGGTGCTGCAGTACAGGCGTTGCCTGTCTCCTCCAGCATCCTCGGGCTCCCGCCGCCTGAGCCTCAGGACCTGGGTTGGGAATGGCTGAGATTGTGCCCAGCAGAGGGCGCTGCCGGACCGGTCCAGGCGGCGGCCGAAGCAGCAGGGATGCAGTGGGAGGCTGGGTGGCTGGAGTAGCTGATGCTGCAGAGCCGGTGGGGTCCCAGCGGAGAGCATGAGGCGCTCAGAGCGGGAAGAGCGTGGAGTGGGAGCGCTTAGCTTCCCGCAGCCCTGATCCAAGCCTCCGCGCTGGACTCCGGAAGACATGACTATGGCTGGGGGAAGGAGAGGGCTGGTGGCTCCCCAGAACACCTTTCTGGAGAACATTGTGCGAAGATCTAATGGTAAGGGGAGGATTGCATTCACCAGCAGCACGTACCGTAACGGGAGATGCCTCGGAAGCTGCTTCCCAGGGGCGTCCAGAAATGCTGCTGAGCGTGGGGCTTGCAGGGGGCAGTGGCAAAGAAAACACAGTAAGTCCTTCCTGCAGCCGGTCTCCGGCCAGGGGCTGCCCAACTGGCTTTGAACCATCACGGCTCGGAGGTGATTGAATGAAGCGGTCTGTGCCGGTGCCATCCCGCATGCGATGCCTTTTCAAAGTCCCACCGAAAGTAGAGGGGAGAGTCTGATCGGACCCTCCAAAGGGGGGAGGTGGGGGAGGAAGCCCAGGCTCTTGGGTTGCACGAAACCCCCGTGATCTGGCGTAAAGCACCCGGGACACCTATCTGCAGGGCTCAAGTGTCTGCTGTAGAGATGTGAGAGGGAGAAGGGTTTGGGGGAGAGAGGCTCGTGCGTGCTTTAGAGCTGCCTGGATGCTGCCCCAATGAAGACCCCGCCATACTCAGGCTGAGACTCCCACCCTCTCCTCGCAGCTGGGACTGCACCCGGACCCCTCCTCAAACCTCTTCCCCCATCACTGGTGGTGCCCTCCTCCTTGCTCAGGCTGCATCCTTCCTTTCCACTGGGACGTGCTGCTCCGGGGCTAGGCGACCCAATGTGCCTGGCTTGGCAGAGCCCGCTACTGTTGTTTGGTAGTTGGCGATCGCCTTAGTTTTAATTTGCTTTCCGGGAGATCTCTCTGCTGTTGGCTTAATTCTCTTCTATCTCTTAGCTCAGGTGGCAGGCAGGGTGATAGAGTTCAGGTGCTGCTGTAATCACAGATATGATCCGTGGATCGGTTTAAATTAAGGCAAAAAGCCCATCCTGTGTCTGGGTGTCTAAGGAGGGGGTATATTTCTTACGCATTCGCCTTATACACAGCAGTGTATGCAGGATAACCTCATGTATCAGCCATTCAGTACACTTGTCTATTAGATCTAAGTAGCTGCCTGTCACTTCTGTAATAGTAAGGAGTGAATAGGTGTTAGCCTGTATATGGTTTAAATTGAATACTGAAAAGGTTATAGTTCTTCTATAGCCAAATGTCAAAACCATCAGCCATACTATGGGCCCGATCCTGCCGAATTCACTCATTCAAGTAGTTGACACTCACCCAAAGGATCCCACAGACTTCAAGGGAATACAGGGTATGTAAGAAGTCAATTGACTGTCTGGGAGATTCTTTTGGTCTGAGAAATTGCTTTTTAATGACTAAATGATTCAGAAATTCAAGATGGTCTCTAGGAAAAAAAGGAAAAAAACCCTAAGTCATCTTGGAAGATACGGGAGGTCTATCTCGCTGAGTTGAAATAGTTTCTTTTTTAAGTAAAGAATATGGTATTTGCAATTTTGTGAGCCTAAGGATGGATAATTTTTTTGAGAATACAGTAATCAGTATATTGTTGGAAGGGGAAATGTCTAGAATTGCACAACTGCATGTGAATATGTATTAATGGATCTGGATTTTGCTAAAAGGCTGTTTCCTTAAAAAGGCCTCAATCATGCAAATATTATGCATAATACTTAAAACGAAGAACATGTATGTTAGCAGGGTCTTGGCCCAAGTCCTACCAATTTTTAACTCCGATTCACTTCACTGAGGATGCTAAGCAATTTAAGGACTCAAATGACTCCAAGGAATGATTTTCAATTTATTTTTTTAAAAAACTGGAGGCTCTTATTGAAGCAGCAGTGTTTTGGAAAGTCTTGGAGTGCAGAGAATCTGGTACTACTAATGCATCTTCACACGTAATTGTGACTCTAGAAAGGTTGCCTTCCCCCACTCTCTTCCTAGAAGCAGCAAAGAGTCCTGTGGCACCTTATAGACTAACAGATGTTTTGGAGCATGACATGCATCCGAAGAAGTGGGTATTCACCCACGAGAGCTCATGCCCCAAAACGTCTGTTAGTCTATAAGGTGCCACAGGACTCTTTGCTGCTTTTACAGATCCAGACTAACACGGCTACCCCTTTGATACTCTCTCCCTAGAGAAATGTTTGATTGCTGTATTCTTAGAACAAAAAATACTATCCATCCTTACTGAAAATCTTGTTATTTAAAAACAAAATATTTTGGCTGGCTGTGGTGAAATAGAACCTCTAATCTTCCAACTTCAATTGTTGAAATGTTTCCTAGAGACTGTTTTGAGTCTTTGAATAATTTCATCATGAGAAAAGTCAACTTCTCACTTTATTCAGCAGAACTGATGAGTCATCAATCTGAACATATAATCAGTTTTCCATCCCTACACCCCCACAATCAATAGAAGCGGTGTCAAAAGTTACCTTGACATTATTATTTATATGGTGCTGTGGGTGAGCAAGGTGCTTCATGGGACAAATAAAAAGACCAGGCCCCTGCTCTCAGGTGTGCATTAGTTCATGAGGGCTGTAATAATACTAGACTGAACCTCTAAGCTCAACCTTGTAGGAGGGGATGGACCACAGCTGTACCACTCTAAGGAGGAATTTGGGAGGAATTGTGACTCAAGTTACAGTCCCTTCCCTTGCTTTGAAGACGGTGTAATTTAGTGAAGTTCTTTCCCCACTTTGTGCTGGCTCAGCTCTGCTGGCCAGTTAAGGGAGGCATGGGGGAGTCAAGGCTCCTCCCATTTCCTCTTCCTCTGTACCTTCTCCTGGCCTACCTGCGTGGAAGGAGAATGCTGGGCTGCAGTCTTTACTATGCCTCCTATACTCAAGCTGTGAGGCAGGGGAAGCTAAAGTGGCCATATAAAAGTTAAGGTTTTGGTCCCCCTTTATTCCCCTGCGCAGTCACATTTGGCTGGGCCACAATCTGACTGCCAAGAAAAAAATATAAAATGATGGGATTTGCCATTGAAATGTTGGGAGTTTTATAAAGCTAGTACTTAGCTGGCAGCTCAGGGCAGGTTACACACTGCCTCCAAATATTGAGTGGATAAACATACACAAATGCATGCTCTTGGGAGTCTGTTCTCCCACTGAAATGTGGGGGACTTAGCATTAATGTCAGTTCTGTGACTAATTAGTGTGATGCATATGGACCTCGCTGTGAAGGGGGAGTAGAATAGAACCCACTCTGTTTATATCAGAGATACAAATTAATTGAGGACCACATTTGTACTCTCTTTTTAGAGACTGAGAGAAGCTAGCTATCTAAATGAGACTAGATAGCAATAATAAAGCAATTATCTGCAACCATTTATTGGGAGCAATAATCAACACACACAACTAATTATGCCATTTCACCATTAGTTTAAAATGTAATTCTATTAATAGCATTTGATATGAGATGTGAAGCTTGAAAGCTGACGTCTCCATTGGCAAGTATAGCTCATAAAGAGAATACATGTGGTTTTAAATTTATTGTGCATGCATGTTCAGGTCTTTTCATTCTGGCATAGTGTTTTGCTCATGTCTATAGTGTGTCTTCAGGAGGAAGATTGTCATATCCATGTGCAGTGATTTGGGGTAAGGGAGCTTAAGTACCTCCCCACCCCCAAATGTGGCTTGCCTGAGTTGCCACCCCAGGTGCAGGAAAGAGAGCAGGTTTGTGAGGTCAGTGCTGTCTCCCCAGCCCTGCGTAGGAGTGGGCTGAGGAAAAGCGGGGAGATGGGGAGCAATGGGTCTTCTCCCCTACATGCCAGCCAGAGTGAAGGGGGAATTAACATTTCAAGAGCTACAGTAAACTACTTCCCTCATAGTGGAGCAAAGAGGAATCCCTTCCCTGAGCTGCTCTGAGGATGGCATAGGCATGTACCACCGCATACATATGTTGTTTACAATTCTGCTTGTGAACAGCTTGTCTTATGTTTAATATTTTAAAACAGTGCTTCTGAACTACCCATGTATAGTTAGAAAAATAAATGTTGTGCATAGGACTTAGTCAGGCTTGGTGAACAGAAGTTTTTTTTTGTTGGTTCTGAAGAAGTGAAAAAGCTAAAAAGGCCAGAACACCCTGTGGGGTGGAAAATTGCCTATGCTGTAAAATAGTTCAGTACAGAAGAAATCACTAGGCTGCTGATGGATATTGCTAATGTCATATTCATGTTTTTCCTGCGGTAACACAATATCCCTGTGGTATACAGCATGCTATAACAGTATCACAGCTATCATCTTGGTCTGCAGCCAGTGCACTCCATTCAAATGGTGCAGTATGTTATAGGCAACTAATTTTTATAAAATGATATTTTAATGCTTTATCAATAATCTAGAGAAAAAATCCTTTAAGTTTACAGAATTATAGGCCTGAGTTTTGCAATCCTTACTCAGGCAAAATTCTCATCGAGATCAGAGGGAGTTTTGCCTTGTAAAGGCTGCAGAATCCAGCCTTATTGTCTAATGACTGTTGAATTTCAACAGAGTGCAGACACTTCTGAATATTAACAATAAAAGTAAGGAAATATATCACCAAACCAGAACTTTGTCCAAATGATGACATAGCTATACAAAATATTAAAAAAGAGATCTATTCCAGATCTCAGCTCAGATCATACAACCCTAAGACCAGTGTGAGGAGCAAGTGGCTTCAAACCTTTGAGCTACATGTATTATGCAAACGAAGATTGGTAATGCCACATTTCTAATCTGTTATAATTAGTTTTAGCTCAAGGTCAATCTATTTATATGCTGAAAGACACTGGCATACCTACCTGAGTATCAAAATTCTGCTCCAATACCCATTAATCTACCCATATATAAATCTTTTACCAACTACTTATAGACTTCTCAATGTATAATAATATGGTGCTAAATAACGCATTAAATAAGAGAGGTGCACCAAAAACTCGTGTTTTCTTTTGTATAACAATTTTGCCTATAGAACAAAATAAACAATTCTTGTATAAGATAATGTTTAGGCAATAACATAGATGTATCTTATCTTTTTAGTTTGAAAAGGATCCGCCAAACTTTTATACCTCAAGGTCCAGACTCTTGGTTCTGCCTAAGTCCCTTTTGAGCCAAAGCTGCCTCAAACTGGGGCCTA